GCAAAAACCCTTTATAGCATTTGATTAAGGAATGTTTACTGAATACCTTGCTACTTAAACATTGAACAACAAACTCTAACATTATAAGTTATCTTCCACGAAACACACAAATATTTTTAAGGTTACGGCTGAAAATACAACTAGCAACACATTGGACGATTACACAATAAATCACAAGTAGCACAAAATCTTTTAATACATTCTGTTAAGCATACCTTTAAGAAGATTTTCCATAGTTAAATTGGTTTGTAAATTTTAATTGCAATAGTTTTTTTACGTCGACAGCTGAGAATAATTTGGCGCACTTTTTGCCATTCACCATGCAACCCTGAATCAGCTGACTTTGACGAAGCTTAAAACATTAGGGGAAGTCCCCAAAATTTTATAAAAATTGTTTTTATGTCTATTGGAATATCCTTAATGAGATAAAAAAAAAAAATTGCGGATTCGAGATAAAAAAAAATTAGGTTTATGCCGCACTATCGGTATTTTTGCCCATAGTGCAGTGGCAACGGCCACGAATTGAAGGTGTGCCAGTGTGTGTGTGTGTGTGTGTGTCAGTGTGTGTATGTGTTGACTGAATTGCAAATTAAATGCGAGAGATGCAACAAGGAAAGCTAAGCAACAAAATCTCCCTCTCTCTCTTTCTCTCTCTCCCTCTCTCTCTCTCTCTCTCCTTCTCTCTCTATCTCTCTTCCCATCTCCCTCTCTTAGGCGATATCAATAATGGCAATTAGTAAGCATTTGACGTGCAGCACTAAGAAAGTAGCTTGTAAATTTTTAGACATGCATGCCAAAACGCACAGCGTTGCCAGACAGCAGCAGAAAAAACGATGAATGAAGCGGCAAGTGGTAAGTGGCAACAGGCAAAATATGTATTTGTGCTTGTTAAAATTGATTGCCTCGTCGAACGAAATCAAGTGAGAGCCTACAAATCGGGCGCAGCCGACTTAGCAATACCCGTTCCAATCTTGCGATTCGTCAAACTCCCATTGGCATATATAAGAAAATCTGATTTTTCATACGAGAAGAGAGAGTGGCAAAGACATTGCCCAAAGCCGAATATACACTTTGTGTTTTTGCAGGACGAGTATCAAAGAGAAAAAGGAGGTGAAGCAAAGCACAGCAAAGCTGCTCACACACTTTTCAACAGCAACAACAAGAAATGGCAACTGTTTGCTTAGAGGCTACCTTTTGGGCTGCTAACATTGATTTATATTTGTATTGACACTTAAAGGATGTCCCAGCCCCAACCCCAATACCATAGCCAGCCCGAGCCCCAAGCCCGGCCCACGTTCGTGTCTTTGTCTCGGCTGTCCATTGTCCCGCCGTCCGCTGTCTGTTTGCCAAGCGCACAAATTTGTCCCTGTCATTGTTTTACAAGCCCAAAAGGGAGCCCAACACAAAGCACAAAAGACGAAGACGAAGACGAAGACGAAGACGAGCAACTCTTTCAGTTAAAAGCACAAAATGTATCGATTAAAAACAAAAACAAAAACAAATTCAAAAACAAACACAAAAACAAAATATCTGAGCGCAGCCACGACTAGCCGAGGCGTGAATACACTCGGCAGAGTGAGTAAACAAACATAACGGTTAACCGGTTCGGTTCGCAAATAAAACAATTGAAATCTGAAATGTAATGAAACCAAATCTGAGTTGTTATAACTGGATTCTGCTGTATATATAGAAAAACTGATTTCAATGCGATAGAAAGTCAAGTAAAGCAATGGAAATGATTCAAATTAGTGGTGAACCGATTAATAAACGAAACGGTTCAAATCTGAAATTCACTTTTTTCTTATTCTCTATAACCTAAAACGTTTTTTCATAATTATTAAGTGTTGAATTATAAGAAACTCGATCTGAATAGGAATACATACTATAAAAATATTATATGTTCACTAAATGCGCTTGAAGTTATGGGAATTCAAATACACTGAAGAAAACTATTCGAGCCTTAATTCAAAGCAGAGAATCGATTTGAATTGCGAAATTCGACAGATTTAGGTTTCGTTAATAATAATAAAAAAATAATAATAAAAAAAAACTATATGGTACATATATTTAGTAACACACACAGAACTCTGAAATATTACAAAAATACTGAGGTAGACAAGGCTCTCAAGCTCAAGCTGAGCTGCAGAGAGTTAGAGGCGCTTGACTATAAGAGTGTTTCTTTTCATACGCATCAAGAATATATATATCTTTTATATGATGTACATATCATCAAGCAGGTGTTACATACTGTTTAAGAGATTTATCATAACCTTTGGCAGCGTATTTAAAAGATTTGCCGTTGAGTTTGGCAGGCAGCAAATGTGAAGTGACACTTGCAAAGCAGACAAACAAACACATAGACACCCAAACAGACAGACAGACAGACAGACAGACACACAGCCTGACAGGCGAACAGACATGAAATATTGAAAAGGAGAAAACATTTTGTGACCTGGCCGACAATTTGAGTGGGAGTTCGCTTAGCTGCATTTGCATGCGCAAATCATACGCGAATTAACACTGATGAGGAGCGCAGCTAAATGCCGAGCTGTATTTGGGAGCGGCTGCTCGAGCTGAAAGTAGAACCGAAAAATAGAAGGTTCAAATGAACCTGAAGTTGGGCTGTGATAGGGCTTATAAGAGGGGGGCTAGCGACTGTGACAAGCAGACTTTGTTGCTCTTTAGATGTCCATATTCTAAGATAGTCCATAATTTAGGCATATGCCCTGAAAGCGAACAAAGATTTTTTTTTTAATATATCATAGTAAAAAGATACCAAGAATTCGCATTGTAAATTTTATATTGTAATTATATTATATTATATTAAGCTCAGCCACAGATGGCTATAGGTAAACTTAATAGTTGTGAGATATACCCATAACACGTACTTCACACATAGAACGGTGCTCAAATGGTTAATATCTTGTTAAAATAAGCATGAAGTACATTTTACATGTACATTAACATATCCATATTAACATGAAGGTGAGCAGTAACTGGACGCTGATATAGATAAAGAGATATCGATAACAAGATAAAGTGAATATAGACAAAAATGATGGATTCAGTTAAAAGATTCGGCTACTCTTGATCATTGTACATATGCACATATACATACATACATATATACATATGTACATAAATACATAGATAGATATATACATACATACATGCATATATACATATATACATATATACATACATACATACATGCATACATACATACATGCATAAATGCATACATGCATACATGCATACATGCATACATGCACACATGCATACATGCATACATGCATACATACATACACACACACATATATACATAAACACAGATACATACATACATATATATACACAGATACATACATACATACATACATATATACATACATACATACATACACACACACATACATACACACACACATACATACATACATACATACATATGTCTTTACTCTTAAAGTGATCATAGAGGTATCAGAGTATCAGAGCTGTGAAACACACTCAACTAAAGTGGGCCTAGAATTGAGATTGCCTCTCCATGTGGGAAGAGAACAGCAAAGAGAAATCAGAAAAGAAATAAAAGCTATCATTGTGAAATAGTTGTTGGCAAATGTTGCATGCGTAAATTTCATTTTCATTTTAAGTTGGCAATGGAATGGGACAAACTGATTAAAGCACAATGCACAAGTGCCTCGAGTGGAGCACAAATACATGCATACATATTTGATAAGCAGCAATCGAGCTCGAAGCTCATTCGCTTAAGCCAAAAGCAAACGAGAATCGGAATTGAGCCTAAGAGCTGAACTGAACTGAACTGAGCTGAGCTGAGCTGAACCGAGCTGAAATGGAGGTGGATTGAGAGTTGCCAGGGTGATCCGGATGTGCTAAAGAGAATGCTGTGGAGCTGCAGCTGGGGCTATGGGGAGTTGTGTGAGATTAAAAATACATTTTTAATTATTCAAAGGAGGCAAAACAAAAACAAAGCTTCAAATTGCAAATTGAATTCGATGCTTTGAATTGTAATTTTGATTCGATGCAATTCGATTTAATTCGATTTGATTTGATTTGATTGAAGCGAAATTCCAGTTGATATTCAAATTATTTGCAGCCGCAATCGAAAGCATTATTTATTTTTGTAGCTGATGAAAGACGTGCGAGCGAGACGGCCGATAGGCAGACAGACAGTTGAGGCTGTGGCTGATGTTGAGCAGCTTCTTCTTCTCTTCTTCTTCTTCATCTAATTTTTACAACAATTTTAGAACTTAATCCTTGAGCAGCAGCTGCTCGGGGCCAAGTCAAATGGGCCAGAAAGCAAATGTGCGACGTTGCTCTACTCTAACGCACTCGCCCAATCGCCCAGTCGCCCAGTCTCCCTGTCTCACTTGTTGTTTGTTTATCTAACGAGTAAATACGATTTTAATTAAATGTAAATCACATTGTCAACTCACACACAGACACACGCCCATAAAAGTGCCTTCACTTCAGCTAACAGCAGCAGCAGCAGCAGCAGCAGCAGCAGCAGCAGCAGCAGCAGGAGCAGCAGGAGCAGCATCTGGAATAGAACTCACATCTGGCATTGGCTTTCCATGTGGGCCGCACACGAGTTGCTTATATAAGCACATGCGACTATTGTCTACCACAAGTTCACATTCAGCACACACAAACACACACACGCACACACTTGGTAACATGCATATGGCTTGTATCTTTCAGCTCTGTGCCTTGTCTGCCCTTAGATTCAGCCACTCTGCCAGCACAAGCCGCAAACACCCTTGAGATTATTAATTAAAAGACAAGAAAACATAATTTCTAAATTTACACACATGCAACAAACCAAAGAACACGAAAAGAAACACAGTTAGGCAGACTGAGAGAGCGGCGGAGGGAGAGAGGGGGGGAGCTAGGAGTGAGGAAGAGCTATAGAGCTTTGCCTAGGCTGTTGCCACTCGCAGCCAACAGTGTTGCCAGACACGTGCAGCCCAGTGTTGCACAGCATGCGGCGTTGTGCAACACTGTATACTCTATACGTATGTGCCTGTCACTTTCAGCAGTCGAAAGCTAACTTTTCCCAATTTTTCTGACATGGATCGCTCCACAAGCACCGACTTGAGCTTAACTTATGGAAGGCAGACGCCGCGCAAGCCGCCGCATCGCGTCATCTTCGAGGTGGCCGTTGATACGGAGACGCAACCATCGCCGCGTCCCGAAGATGTGAGTCCAATGCGACTGCGTGCTTCTCTCTTACATTTCGCTGACCGTCTTCTTCCGCTTCTGCTAATGTTTTTGCAGAACGGCGCTGAGTTTCGTCGCTTTGAGCTGACCGTTCCAGATCCGAACGACAAGCGCCTGATGATCATCTCGTTGATGAATGGCCCAGCCGATCCCAATTTCCGTTCACTGATGGGCGAGCTGCGCCACAGCCTGGACAAGGTGCGGCGCGAAGAGGCCGAGGCCGAGGCCGCGGAGAAGGCAAAGGCCGAGGCAGAGGCGAAGGAAAAGGTCAAGGCAGCGGCTAAGGCAAGGGCCGTGGCAGCGGCCAAGGCAAGGGCCGAGGCAGCGGCAAAATCGAAAGCCGAGAAGAAAGCAAAGACCGAAGCAAAGGGAAAGGCCAAAGCCAAAGCCAAGGCCAAGGCAAAAGCCGTGGCAGAGGCGAAGGCAAGGGCTGAGTCAGAGGCAAAAGCAAAGGCCGAGGCAGCGGCCGAGGCAAAGGCCGAGGCAAAGGCCGAGACAACGGCAAAGGGGAAAGCCGAGAAGAAAGCAAAGGCCGAAGCCAGGGAGAAGGCTAAAGCCGAGGCAGAAGCGAACGCAAAAGCCGAGGCAGAAGCGAAGATGAAGGCCGAGGAAGAGGCGAAGATGAGGGCCGAGGCAGAGGCGAAGGTGAAGGCCGCGAAGATGGCAAAGCTCGAGGCAAAAGAGAAGGCAAAAGCCGAGGCCAAGGCGCTGGTAAAGGCCAAGGCCGAGGCGAAAGCTGTGGCGAAGGCAAAGGCTAAGGCCGCGGAGAAGGCAAAGGCGAAGGCCGAGGTGATGGCAAAGGCGAAAGCCGAGGCGAAGGCCAAAGCCGAGGCAAAGGCCAAAGCCGAGGCAAAGGCCAAAGCCGAGGCGAAGGCCAAAGCCGAGGCGGCCAAGAACCGCTCGAGCCGTCGATCGCGTCGTTTACGGAAGGCGGGCTCCACCATGGACACCGCATCCTAGACTAAGCGGGCTTAGCTGGAGGGACCCTCGTATAGCTGTAAGACCGTCCTTCTCAGTCTCTATTTATATGTATGCATGTATGTATGTGTGCATGTGCATGTGCATGTCTCTATGTGTGTGCATGCGTTAATAAAAAATGCAAACTCCACTGGGAGCAATCGAACAGCTTAAAAGCCAATGGGCGCCATAACCGTTACTCATTTATATATGTATGTAGATATATCTGCATACATACATAGTGTATATATGTATGCATGCATGCATGCATGTGCATATCCCTCGGATGCCGGCAAAGTTGGCAACTTGCCCGATGCTCAGTTAAAACGACATGCAACACCCTTTTTATGCCAGCAAAAAGTTTATAAGCGCAGATTACAGCCAAAAGTAGTTGCGCATTTGATGCGGCGACAGGGCGTGTGTGTCTCGCCAGTGGGCGTGGCAGGCAGTGGGCAGCTGCGCTGAGTTGGCATTTAAAGTTTGCAGTGAGCCAGACATTAGTGCTGCAAATCCATCGATGGAAATATCGATAGTATCGATGGACTTTCTTTTGTTAGATAGGTCGATGGAATTTTCTCGATGTCGATAGATCGCTGCAGACGCCAAGCCACAAGTAAGTTCATACGTTGATACTCAAATTATTATTAAAATTAGAATCTATTTTACACAAACAATTTGATTTATTTTTTAACATATAGCACATAGATACCTATTTACCACATTATTTAATTGTTGGCGGTTCCTCCACGGAAAATGGAACATTTTTTGATCCCATCTGGTAAGATTCATACAATTAATAGCAAACACGTTTTTTCTAATTGTTTTGGATTTTAGATAAAAGTGCTTCTTCGCCTGCAGACGCCAATAAGGAATCTTCATTTGCTGTTACGGTACACACTGAAAATATTGCGCCTCCGAATAAGCGAAAGAAATTTGAGAAATCTCAAGTATGGAAGTTTTTTGAAAAATGCCAAGAAAAAAACTTTGTGAAATGCCTGTTGTGTGCAAATATGCAAGAGCATTTAAAGCGTGCACATAATGGATCTCACGATAATTAATTTCAGCTTTAAGCTCAAGACTTTTGTGAAAGATAGTCAAGTTTTGTTTTTTAATTTTAAGTTAAATTTTAAAACTTGTTAATTACAGTCGAAATTTTTGGTTTTTAGCTATAAGATAAATATAAACCAAAGTTGTTTTTTAGGATAGACTGTTTTGTGATGAACTGGAATACAAATATTAATTTTATGAATTAAGACGAAAAATCATGAATTGTTTTGAACTTACTGAGTATAAATGTTTATAAAGTTAATTTTTTTTCTATGAATTTTCAATAATTTTTGAATGATGGAGCTATTTTCGATGGAACCATCGATACTATCGATGTTTTAATCCATCGGACTCAAACAAAATCGATGGACGGTCCATCGATGGTTTTGCAGCACTACCAGACATCACTCGCATCGATACGCGGCCCAAAGCAGCTGATGCAAATGATCGCGCATCTGTGTGAATGGCAAAGTGAATGGCGGATGCGAGCAATCAGAAAAAAAAAAGAAAAAAAAAAACAAATAATAATAATAATAAAGGGGAAAAGCGCATGAGACTAGGCGAAACAAGTGGAAATGGAAGATTGAAGAAAAAGTAGATGCGATAGACGAAAAGAAAAAAAATGAGCAAACATATGAAATAGATGCAGGGGCTGCATCAGCGAATATAAATGCATATGTATGTATGTATGCATGTGTATAGATAGTTTTGCATGTGTACGTGTATGTACACTGACTCAGAGCATATTTCAAGCAGCACCTTTAAAAAAGTTTGTTGGTCTATAAAATCCAAATTATTGGGTATATCCAAAAAATTTAAACGCAGATTGTTATTGTGATGTTTAAACTAATACAATATTATTTCATTTATTTTTTAAATATTTTTCCAAATCTACATATGTACATGCAAGAGCTTAGCTTGACCGTCTATTATGGGGGGATGATTCTTATTGAGAGGAATATTTTACAAATAGATTAATAAATGCTAAAGGGTTAATCAATGCAACTATCGAATCAAGTGCTGGCACTCAAAACTGCAAAGATGTAGGACAATTGGGTTGATTTCACACGTGACCGGCATGATCGTGCCGTGCCTGGAAAGGTTTTTCCCGCCATCTAAAAGGATGTGGGCAGGAGCAATATATCAGGGTATGTGTGTGTGTGTGTTTCTGTCCCTTTTCATTTGGAGCGCAAGCAGCGTGACTTTGTCTCTCTGTGTGAAGAGGCGGGGCCTAGCAATGGGGGGGAACAACTCAAAGGCAGCATTGTCATCGTTTATGCCGTCAAAGTGAAAATCCATGCGCAAAATTATATGTCGAAAGTTTTCACTTTTGATATGCAAGGCATTCTGCCTGGCATTGGCGTTGACATCATCTTGGCATGGGCGGGCAGTAGCAGTGGCAGAGGGGGGGTGGGGGTGGTCTGTCGTGGAGCCGTTGCTCTGCATGCTCCAGTGACGCACTCTGACAAAGACACATTTTACTAAAGTAGCGCGGAGAGGAGCGTGTCGGGGGTCCAAGCAGGGGCAGGGGCAGAGACAGAGGCTGAGGTGGAGGCTAGGGACGGGTCGGGAAGGAATCTACCAATTACTCGAGTTACTGGCCCAGTCGCTCTCGCTCGGTCTGTCATTGAAACGTATCCGGCCTTTTAGCCTTTCAGTCTTCTTCCTTTTCGCTCTTTTTTTTTTCTGCACAGTTGCTCTGTGTGTTTCACTCAGTTCTCACCCGTTCCGTTGTCCTTTTTAGTTTTGTCTATGAGACGGCGGCTTCCTATTCGACTGTTTCCTTTCTGTTGACTTTTCCTTGGGTTCACTGGCGCCAGTCGAGCCCCTCAGCCCCACGGTTGCCTGCCCACCCACTGACTTTATTTTTTTTTCTAATTTTTTTTTTTTTTTTCTGGAATTTTCCGGCATCTTGCCTGGGCATCGTTGAAAGAGCTATGTAATCTACCCTACTTTACAGTTGAGAACGCAAAGAGCGCCATCTGTCGGCTGCGGTTGCGGCGGCCTTTGCAACTGCATTCAATGCACTCGACAGACCCCACTTTCCAACCGCCCCTAGACCACACTCCCTTTTCTAGCTGCTTGCTTCCCCTATTTCGTCCTATTTTTCATTCCGTTTGCACACTTTGGTTAATTTGATTTCTCTGCAACTTGGCTTTGATTGCGAGCGTGTGTGTGAGTGTGTGTGTGTGTGTGTGGAGTGTGTGTCGAGTGTGTGTGTTGAGTATGTGTGTTGAGTGTGTGTGATCAGTCAAGCCTTTTCTTCTTTTGTTCACATGTTCGCGTTTCACTGCGAATGCCATTGCCCCATTGGCCAGCAGTTGCGAGAATAAAGAATTCCCTATTCAAATTTGCAAGTCCCTGGCCCTGGGGTATATAAGTATGCATATGTATGTATAATGTAATTATTAAGATTAGCAAACGAGTCCCTATAGCCACTTCCCTACAATCCTCTAACTAGTCTCTACGTACCTTCATACTACCACCACACATATCAAAGATTATTATTTACTATACTATATAATAAATGATTAATAAGCTAGATAGATCATAGATCATTAATCATATATTGAATATACCATATGATATATGATTGATGAACTATACCTTATACTATACTTTATGATAATATAAATATGAAATGTCTTATATGATATATAGAATAGATGACACTGCATTTACCACCTACTACATACATCGCAGAATATTTGGCATTCATAACTAATCATATATCATATAACATATCAAATATCCAATAGATCATTTAACACTTATCACTTCTGATATAATGATATATGTGATATTATCTTAGTTATATGTCTTAACTAAGATCATATCACATATATCATTATAACCTTAGGCATAACATTATTTATATACTCTATCAAAATCACCTAATTTTCACATAATTCAGTCAACATGTACTACACTTATGGTTAGCTATAGATAAAATATATGCATGTACTCTCTGATTTCTAGTGGTTTCCCTTGCTTTTGTTTTATTCTCTGCTGGAGCTAGATTTTCGTTTTGTTTTTGGTGCAGTTTGAAATTTGAGGTCTCGCAGTGAGTCTGGGCGCAAGTAATTCATCTCTGTTCTAATGTACTCGATGGCTGCCTAATAAACGCCGGCCGCCCTGTCAGAGGACTCCAGAATTTATGGAGTCCATTAAACGCAACATTGGTTGCTCTGATTGGCAAGGGGTTCCGGCTGTAGCCGCCGCGTGACAACCAATTTATTGCTGGGCGGTAATTGGCAGTCAAAACGAGGCGAGCCGAGGCTAGTTGAGGCGTGGCAAGTCGAAAGTCCTTTAGCTGCTGTGGCTTCTCCTTGTCCTCCTCCTGCTGCTGGTGCTGCTACTGCTCCTCCTTGTCCTCCTGCTGCTGCTGGTGCTGCTGCTGCTCCTCCTTGTCCTCCTGCTGCTGCTGTTGCTGCTGCTCCTCCTTGTCCTCCTGCTGCTGCTGTTGCTGCTCCTCCTCCTGTTGTTGCTGTTTATTAATAAATTGTCACTTGCAACTGGCGACACATCCCGAGCTGCAGCCAGTGCGTTCTGCAGCTGTTGGCCTGCCTGGCTGCCTGGCTGCCTGCTTATTGGGCATTATTCTTGGCTGTCCTTCGCCAGTTGCCAGGGAGAGAGCGACAGGCGAACCACATTGCCAATTAGCTGATATCATCGTTCATCCGGGCGTCAGGCGTTGCCTAATCCTTGTTAAGCTTTATCGAAATTGTATCATTATCATATCGAGTAGCGCCATTTTACTTACCCGCTCGCCCGCTCTTCATCACGCTCCAATACCTGAGGGAAATCTGCTCAGCCATATGACGATGTGACCTCTCTCTCTCTCTCTCTCTCTCTCACTCACACTCTGGCCAGGCCAGCGACATACGCTTTCGATTTGGTGCTAGCAATTTTTCCCATAGTTCTTTATTCTTGCTGCTGCGCATCGACGCGTTCGCCTGGACTCGAGACTAAGCTGCTTATTATCCTTTGGGAGCTTCACACACACACACACACTCGCACTCGGACACACACAGAGGCCGGCACACATTGTGCAGCGTTTGGCAGCGTTAATTGGATTTTGAAGCAGCTGCAAATGAAATTGGAAGACAGAACTAAAGTATATTTAATTCGAAGCGCCGTAAACCTAACTTGCGGCTGCCTAAGCTCGACGTTTTCTTTTTCGCTTTGCCGCCCGCATTCGACACTCGCCTTGAAGCGCACTCAGTTGGGCCGTGGCGTTGCCACCTGACGCGTCTTCAAGCGAATCGCTAGTGCTGGCACTTTGATCTATCGAAGAAAATTCAATTCCGAAAATATTTTTTTAAAATGCATGGGCAATTCGCTTTGAATTCATTTCTATTATAATAAAACTTAGCCCATAAAAGTCACTTAATGTTATCAAATTTTATTCCACCTGTATTCCTTTTCTCTCTGTCTCACTCATTAGGTTTATCAGTCCCTCACTTAATATCTCTTTCCTTTCCTACTCTCTTCTCTTCTTAATTAGTATCTCTATATCTATATATCTATATATCACTCTCCACTTCTATATCTTCTTATCAATTGTCTCAAGCTTTTGCTCTCTCTTTAAGTACATATCTTCATCTGTCGCTCACTCCCTCTTGATATCTATCTATGTACAAATATCTCTTGTACTACTTGTCTCATTCTCTCGCTCTCTTTTCATTAATTTCTCACTCTCTCTTCTCTGTCTCTCTTTCTCTCTCTCTCTCTCTCTCTCTCTCTCTCTCTCTCTCTTTGTCTTCTAGCATAATTATTAAGCTAAATCCCCATGATTTGGCTTAACTACATTTTTACAAAGACTCAACAAGCAACGCCTCGGGCTGGCTGGCAAAGTTTGTTCAGGTCGCTGTTTGCTAAGCGCTGCCCGAGCTTCGACCGAGGGACGGGCGGACGTTAAGTACCATGTAACACTGTACAAATACATGTGTGTGTGTTTGTGCTAAAAAAAAAAAAAATAATAAAATACAAAAAGAGCGAGAGAGAGAGAGAGAGGGAGAGCACCTCCTCTAATGGGAGCAGCCCGCGGGGCTTCGTACATATAAAAATTAAGTTGGAGCTAATTGTGTAAACAAATTCTCTTTAAAATGCGAAATACAAATAAAAGAAAAAATACAAAATAAAAATAATAATCATAATAATTAACATAACATAAAAGCTGAGTGGCTGAGTGCGTGCAAAGCGAATGAAATGTGCTTTCATTTTGTGCGAATGGCAAATAAATGTTAACTGTCTGGCAAAAGTATGGCCGTAAATGTGATTATGGTCGGCATATGAGCTGGGAATGCCAGTATGGGTGTGGGTGTGGGTGTGGGTGGGGGTGGGTGTGGTGAAGGGCTAGCCACCAGCACAGGCCAATAGCCCATGTGAAAATAGAAAATAGAAATAATAGTTGTCGTAAAAAATAAAGTAAAGTGAAAAACTATTCAATATTGTGTGAATAGCAAATACATTTGTGGGCCAGGAGGGAGAGGGAGGAGTATAACTTCTTATACATACATACATACGAACATACGAATGTGGGCATGTATAAAAACAAAACTAATGAAAGTGATTCATATTTTGTGTGAATGGAAAAATTTAGATAAGTTTAAAAGTAATTGAAATGGGTTGATTATATATAAATATAAATGTATGTATGTACATATGTATAATAAAATAGCAATACCAATGGAGTAAATAAGTGAATATAAATAAAAATTAAATATATAAAATAAGTTATTTTCTCCGTTATCTCTCGCTTAGGCAGAGAGAATAAAAGACTTTTAAATACGTTATTTTCCCCGTTATCTCTCGCTTAGGCTGAGAGAATAAAAGACTTTTTATTTACGGCTGGTGCCGGAGTAATGGATTTCTTCGTGACGTTTTCTCGAGAATACAAAGCAGAACTAAAAACTAAAAATGTGGGACAGCGAATCGGCGTGCCGATTTGCTCGAAAGTGATGCTGACACACCCACACTAATGTAAGGTGTCAGATTACTGTTGCTGTCCGCTGTGGTCAGGGCGCTGAATTCAATGCTGTTTCGTCGGCACCATGTAACAAGCGTCGGCAAGTGAGAGAGAATATGCTTATGCTATGTTAATGTTAACTTATATACATGTATTTAAATAATGTAATTTATTTTTCATCTTGTGCGAATGGCAAATGAGAATGAGCATATGAGATAGTGTGGCAACATTAGGCCTACAAATGTTTATTGAAGAGCATATCCGCTATACATACATATGAGCACATCCCAATTGCCGTGTGGTGGGCGTGGCAGCGACGCCTATGCGCTTACATCTAATTGAGCTGCGGACGAGATGGAACAGCTGGTCGACAAAAAGTTCGAGAAAACGCGCTCATAATTCATTCGTTCTGTCAGAGAGACTGAGAGAAAGAGAGAGGGTGGGCGAGATGGAGCGAGGAGGTGCTAGTGGTGCTAGCTGGAGTGACAGGGCGGGGCGAGCAGCTAACAAGCACATTAATAATATCTTAACCGGGAGACGGCGAAGTGCCAGCCATTCGTCCATTCAGCCACTGACGGAGTCGGCCGCACTCCGTGCGATCGCCGGCATTGTCCAGGACGTGGTCGAGCACAAAATGCAGTTAATTAATCATTTGAGCCAAAAGTAGTTTGGCGCTTGATTTATTTTCGGCCATAAGAACTTTCTGCCAACCACAACAAAAGTTAAAGTTTCCTCTCATCTCTATTTTTTTTGTTTTTTTTTTTTTCTCATTTCATTTAATTTTATTTTATTTTCGTTTGTTTGCTGACAGGCTGAGCTGGAGACAGCCGCTGGCGCCACAGCGTCTACTGTCTACTACTCCTGGCCATGGATATACATACATACATTAAAAAGCCGGCAGCGCAACCATTTGAAGGCAGCCATCAGCCCGAAAAGCCCCAAACGAAAGGAAAAAAATTAACCCCAGCGACAGGAAGTCAGGCGAAATGAGTGAGCGGACGGCCGAGCGTGGGCTATGATCGACTGCGAGATGCGCTGCATAAATAAACGTGAATGTTTAAGTTAAGTCTCTACAGATGCACTAGTATAATTGAGCTGCCGCTTAGTTGATTGACTGACCAATCAAGTGATTGACATTGTTCTTTTTATCTGCTTATATTTAAGTATTATCTATTGGACTGACATAGCTCTTATTTATGTATGTAAATGTATACATGTTAGTAGCTTGTAACATCAGTCTGATTGACTGACTGACACAACTTTCAATCTAGATATACTTAACTAAGTAATTGACTGATTGACTGAAAGTATGATAATTAACTAATTTACATTCATTTCGAATTCATCACTAAGTGATATATCGTGATGTATTTTTTAGCTTCTTGATTGAAGGACTGGCTGACTCGATGACTGATTGGCAAATATATATAACAAATTGATTGATTGACTTGCTTTACCACTGATCGCTAGACACATTGATTGACGTACTCTACCTAATTGATTGATGGTGGTTATTCAGATGACTTGACTCACTTATTGATATACTTGGACTTTCTGATTGACCAGCCAACAGACTGATTGACTGACTGGCTTCTTTGCTGATTGACCAGCTGATTCCTTGAGTAAACTATGCGCTTGACTGACTCACTGATTGATATAGAAAGCACAAGAGCAAGAGCTGGGAGCTGGGAAATTGATATGCTGCCTTTTAGGTTTGGCAAGTGAATTCGGGACTGAAAGCAGTTGAGCACACTGAAGTCAATCCAGTGCAGTTCGAATAGTTACAGTGCTCAGTCTACTACTAAGCAGTACCTTGAATGACTACTGAAGTATTTTTCACCTAGGCTCGACTAGAAACGCCAGATATGTCCATTGCTCGCAATCGACAATCAGTTTAAGCAACATCAATCCAGCAAACAGTCAACTGCCTTTAGCTTCTCTGAGAGCAGTGTACACAAATGCCAGAGATAGTAGCCGTGCTCAGTGCAACCGCCTCGGCATCAACTATGAGTCGATTAATTAAACCGCAAGCGTTTAAGCGGCGAACCACAGCAGCGGTAATGCCAACAGCAACAGCAGAGTTTGCTTTAATTTGACTTTCACTTTTCCCAACACACGCACACACGTGCACACACACACACGTACACACACGCGCACACACACATGCTCGCTCGAATGGCAATCTCTTTTATAGGTTACATCCTGGGCCAGGCCCGTGTTGTCCCATCGCGGCAAAGGCAATCAAATTTCGTATTAATTATGTGCTTAACCAAACACCTCCCAGCGCTGGGGCGTCCTCCAGTGGTATGTGCGGGGGCGGTGCGCCGGAGGGGGTGCGCTAGAGGAGCTCACGAAAAAAGGGGGGCGATGGGGGCAGCCTTTGCTGCAAAATTGTAAACTGTCAGCTGGGTCACGTTGCCTGGGATTATGCGACAATGAGTGAGTGAGCGAGCGAGCGAGATAGCAAGGGGGGAGCAGAGTGATGCACAGTCTGTTGGCCATGCGGGTCAGGGACGTAGTGGCAATAATTCTTTGGTTTTCACATTTTGCAGCCGCTGTCGAAAATCCTTTTTGCGGCTTATGCTCCCAATGATGTGGCAGAGACGGGGGCAGCCGCCCCTCGACACATGTCACGGGTCAGTTGCCCGGCCGGGCTTACAATGCGACACGCCCATTTACATACATAGATGGCCGGTTGGGCGAACGGGTGCTATGTGTGTGTGTGTGTGTGCACATAGAGACGGAGCCACGTTATCAACAGACTTGTGCTTAATGCGCTGTCGAATCGTGTATTCTGATTTGTTGAGACGTTGTTGGCGCGCAATACAAAGGCCGTAGGATTACGTGATACACCCGGTGTTTGTAGAGCTTGGTTTATTTATTTAGTGGAACGGAGTGGGGACCAAGGGGATATACATACACTGTATCGAATATGGCTTTTTTTTTTGTTACAATAATCTAAGTAGAGTCAATTAGGTAATTAATGAATAGTATAGTCTAGAATTTGGGATATAGACTGTAGGGCTAGAGTGATATAATCTCTACATACATATGTATGTATATGTGGTAAATGGGCATACATATGTATATGTACATATGTACACACATTCATATACATTCGTTTATCCATAAATACATCCGCATATATTATATTCCCGCCAATCTCTCCAAACCAGAAACTTTAAGAGTTAGACTAACCAAGGCCTGCATACGATATATCGCTATATGGAAAGTTGAGCCCAAGGCAATTTCTAATTTAGATGAGGCACAGCAAGTCAAG